TTCGGCGTTACCATAGAGTTGCATGCTATTCAATCATTGAATGCTTATTGTCGCACTTAAAGGTAGAACCATTCAGGTCAGGCTAAAAGACACAGCTGTAATCTTTCTCTATTTAGCAATATTTATCGCATCTATATTAACTCCATTAAATCTCTCATTTTAAAAATAGTATATTAAAACAAATAAAATGGAATTATATTTTTAATACTTACCCGTCTGTATCAAAATTATTATTATCCAAGCATTAAAATCCATATGATCTACAATCCTCAAAACATTTTGATTGCTTGCCAATTTATCTTGTGCAAGTCCAACCTTATTTAACTCTACAGTTGTCATCACAACTATAATTATTTATAAAGCTTCTATTTATACCCAGATTTTAGAGAGCTATCATTTTGATTAACACCATCATCGCATTCTTCATTTAAACCCACTATACCATCTTTTATATCGCAGTATGAATTGTGGTTTATTGAATCTTTCACATATTCTTAGTTGCTCTATTGAAGTTTAAGTTATGAAATTAAGATTACATTGGACAATATAAGATTATCATCAAAGAGACTAGGCTCCTTCTTAAAGCATTTAAAGGTTTTGTTATCAGATATACAATAATGATCGCTTTCAATTAAGCAATTTGAATTACAACTAAAGAGATAAAATCACTCAAAATATTATACCCATCTCCAGAATTATCGTTATGATCTAAGCATTCATTAGATTCAAAGTTTTTGCAAGATTTTGACCATGATGTATGTTTTCCTCGGAAATTTTGATGATATCCATTTTGAATAAAGCAATTCTGATCGCATCTATTAAAAGATATGTTGGGAAAAATTAATACTTTTCAAATGAATTCATATCTCCATCATCGCACTGTTCTCCGAGCTCAATTATTCCATTTTTACAATAGGAAACAATGTTTTAATCTGGAATTTAAATGTCTAAATGAGGAATTTAGGTGGGATCTAAGTTAGATAAATAATTTGCCAAATATTTTACTCTGTTGATAATAGTTCATACTCTAGAAGTTTCCATCAATGATTACTGACTGACTATTCAAATCTGAGCACTCAAAACTGTATTATAGCTAGCTTTCATGAATCTGAACTATGCATTTCTTACTGGCTTCTACTCTGCAATGTTTATCACACCTAATTAAGATAAGAAGCCACTGATAACATACCCATCATTATCATTGAAATTTTAATCAAGACATTGAGTACCAAATAGGGCACAATTTTAGAAGCAAGTGGATTTCATACCAAACTAAGTTAGACAAGTATATCCTTCTTTTACTTTGCATTGAGAATCGCATCTAAAATAATAAACCTATACTGATTTATCATACCCTCCAGAATGAGATTCATCGCCGTCATCGCACTCTTCTTCAATTTCTTTGTCGCTATTTTTAGTGCAAGAATTTATCTAGCCATATCCAAGCGAGATTAAGTTTGTTGTTTCATAAGACAACACCTAAAATTTTTATTTTTCAATTCTTACATTTCTATGATAGCATTTGAATTCTCCAGTAGTCATATCATTAATACAATAGTGATCTTCTTCAGTTTAGCAATTTTGGTCGCACCTATAATTCAAATGTCAGAAATTAATTTTTTGAAGATGGAATGATAATAGAAAAGTAATATATTGGGGTATAAATTCAAAATTTACCCATCTCCAGTTTAATCATTTGAATCCAAACAAATACTTCCTATTTTCTAGCATGATTATTCTATTTTTTCTTGTTAATTGTTCTTTAAAGTAAGAGTAAAACCTGATTTTATTCGGCAGTCGTTATTACACCTAAATATTGCTGAAAAGACATGAAAATAATACGGATCATGGGAACTTTTATTTTAATGATCGCACTCTTCTCCTATTTCTATAACACCATTTCCACAAATCGGTTTTATAATTCAATCATCTTTAATTTTGAAATTCCTAATGCAATGCATCTTTGAGATTCCATTTATATTGCAAGTGAAACCTTTTTCAACTTCACACTGGCTATCACATCTATACAATAAAATTTTAAGCCTTAAGTCTTTGATTGAAAGCAAAATATAATTGAATATTAAACATGTACCCATCTCCAGACATAAGATTCCCGTCATAGCAAACAAGATTCACATCTCCACAGTAAGATGAGCACTTTGATTATTGACCTAAGGTGCTTGTGCATTGAAATCCATCAATGATTCGGCAATATTAGTCACAACTATTAGAATTAAGGTAAGAGGTCAATATTATACCCTTGATATGCAGTAGAGCCAAAGAGCCAAGTATCACACTCCTCTCCAGTCTCTAAAATTCCGTTTGGATTGCATTAGTTTCAACCAGCATCAGCAGAAGTTACCAATAATAGTAAGGTAAGAGTAAAGTAGGTAAGTGTAATAAACCTATAAAGTTAGTTCAAAGTTTTGCTAGATTTCATCAATCTAAAAGTTATCATGCTATATTTGCTTGATATTTTAAGTATTAAAAGTGATTATCTCTTGAGGTAGATTATCAATAAATTTATGAGAATTTATTAACTGCTTTAAAGAGACTATATAATAATAATTATCGAATTATTTTAAACGTTTAAAATCCTATTATTACCTAAAATCTACCTTATGGGGTTTTGGGGTTTTGGGG